CAATAATTCGATTTTCAGGCGCATCCACCGTGGGCGGGTCGTTCTCGGAAGAGATCATCACCGAAATGGCACGCATCAACCAACGACCCATTATTTTTGCGCTCTCGAATCCCACAAGTAAAGCTGAATGTACAGCCGAGGACGCCTATCGAATAACAAACGTGAGGAAATTGTGGCTTCTCACCATTTTTTATTCACCTGCTTAGCCAGCAGTCACCCATTTTTGAAGGATTGCCTTCCAGGGCTCTGTACTGTTTGCTTCTGGGTCACCATTCGAGAACGTGGAGATGGACGGAAGGATCTTCAAACCGGGTCAAGGCAACAATGCGTACATTTTCCCAGGTGTAGCACTCGGAGCAATTCTCTTCAAGGCCAAGCACATCCCGGACAAAGCGTTCCTATTGGCGGCACGAGTACGTACAGCACTTTTACTATAGATAGTACAAGTTGTGGGTCGGGAGATCGCGTTTGTGGCTGTACTCGGAAGCTGGTTCATCGTCAGGGGATGGTTTTCGTGGTGCCTTTGGCGTGGACCCGCGCACGGCGTCATCTGAGCGTTGTACCGTCCGCAATCGAGATCTCTTGACACACATCCTATGATACCCACTAAACACAGCTACCTTCAGAGATGTGCGAATTTCGTGACAGAAAAGTCGTTGAACACGTATGCTCGTTTGTACCCTCGATTGAAAGATATCCGTGAGCTGTCTGTTCTGATCGCTATTGATGTGAGTTCAAACAGACTTCCCAAAAAAATGTTTTTTACTTTTGACTGTCCAGCAAGAATTGTTTTCCAAGTTTTTCAAGTTTCTCAAAGAAAGTTTGGACAAAACAAAAGTTCTGAAAAAAGTAATCTGATTATGACTTAAGTTCGTATTTTAGGTAGGGAACTATCTTTTCAAACACAATCTAGCCACTCTTCACCCCGAACCAGAAGACAAGGTTAGGATTTATCAGGGTTTTCAGCTATTCTATAAAAAACGGACTTGTGCTCACGCCCTGGCGAAGCATCAACAGACTTTTGTTGGCTAAAGCAGCATTTTTAAGAAGAAATTTGCTGAAGGATAGGGAAGGGGAAAATTGCATAGTTGGGAGACAGGCGGACCTCCTGAGGGTGCTGACCGACGCGCAATTGGCAGCGAAAGATTTGACCTCGGCGATCTAGCATGGCTCACTCTTGGCGCGGTTGGCGTACGCCCACCGACTATCTATCGCTTTACAGATCTATAACGTGGCAAGTTAAATAATCAAAAGCGTATTGAAAGGGCACAGCGATCCGAGCCCTGACGCAGCTCACGTCGCGCAACGGGCAAGGGCGTGGCGGTGACGTTAAAATGACGTCCCAGCTGCGGCAGGCTCCAAGGAAGGGCAAGCAGTGACCAACGTCGATGTCATTTCGCATAAATAGTGGTGGGGTCCTGGCACAGTAGCTAACCTGCTCATCGATTGTGTCATGAACCTTACAATCATGCGAGCGAATGCACGTGCACCCTTGCAGGTACCGCAATCTCTCCGCTAGGATTTGTAAAAGACGGAAAGTCAAGGCTTCACATGGTGCAACCCCTAGAATTACGCATGGATTGAAGATATCAACAAAAGTCTTCGTTGAAAGTTCCGCATCCCTACTCCGAGACCATCATAAATAATGACGGACAAAAAAGTAGAGTAGATGATGTTCGAGTACTTAAATAGTAAAAATCGCAGTTGCACCGTCACCACGCACACGAACGCGACCCGCGCCGCCCCTACTTTTCCCGAGCCCCACCATCTTTGGCCCAGCCTTCCGACATGTTCTTCTCACCCCTGCTCCATTTACGACCTGTATCCCAATAACTCCCATGTAAAATCCCCTTTAAGAGAACATCAATTCTCCGTTGAGAGGCTCTGCTTCAGGCAATGTTCATATCACAACAAAATCATCGGGTCGAATACATGAGCTCATCAACAAACGTATCCTGGCCTACACAACGACACGACACGTTTTCCCATCGGCATGTGGAACGAAGTTCATGATAATAATAGAAAATCGAAAACCATAAATTAGAGTTGCGTACCGGTAGCTCGTCTGAATTCTCACGCTTTCAACTAAATGATCACATGCGCAGCGAACATTCGTGTGTTTTTCTTCAAACACCCATTAATCTCGTTGCGGTTGGTGTAGCCAATCATACTATTTTTGTGATTTTAGCCTAATGTTACGCGGTTTGAGAAGATGACCGCACATTGACAACCTAATAACTATCTGTTGTCTTCTGTCATTCTTCTTTGTTCTTTGCAACATTTTTTTGTGTAATTGGTAGTTATTAATAAATTTGGGCTAATTTTTCTGTGCAACATTTAAACGCAGGTTATCTAGTCCAAATCGAATGAAGGCGTCCTAGAGTTACGCGAATGAATGCATTCATGACGTATTAGTCTATAATGAAACTATAGGTATAGATTAGGCGTGTAGGCGAGTACCGATTAGGCGAGCAGGCGATCAGGCGACTAGGCGATTGGGCGGTCGCCCAATGGGTGGAGTCACGTATCCTTTCGTTATCGGCTAATCGCACGTACGATCGTCAACTATGAACGCCTCATAACACTTCCATCGATATCCAAGAAAGCTATGTGTGTCATGTTCCAAAAGGCGCATTGCGTTTCCAAACGTGGGCTGCGGAGTTGGTTATCTAGGCTATACGCGCCGCCGCAATGTGGGCCTCATGACGCACACTCAACATCACACGATTTTGAAGGGTAACGTTGTTGCGTAGAGGCGTGGTTGAGTCAAAGATGCCATAGAAAGCCCTCCCCCCTCCCTCTACCCTCCCGCTCCCCACTTGCAACATAGGCATCGACGTAGGCGAGAACACTCATGGTAAGAACGAAGTTTGGTAGCTGGGCGCTCATGACCTTGAGGGAGACATTCAAATCAGGGTTTTTAAAAGCCGGTAGGTGCAGTAGGACAAAGCCCAAGAGAAGGAAGAAAGGCCAGGGATAGCAAAGGTTGCTCACGTCCTCCTTCCTTCCTCAGTCCTTTTTAAAAGTGGCTCACTCCCTTCAATGTCCCCTTACGTCATGTGGACCAAAATCATCTATGCTCCACGTTAACCCCGTCTAAAACTTCCCGAGGCACCAACAGCCTCAGCGCAGTTGTGGGCATCTCGGCGAAGCTGCGTGTAGGTCTTTTCCTGGTCAGCACAGATTTAAACGGCAGAAAAGTCAGTTGCTCAGAAATGGGTCAAAAAAGGGAACATAGGAAGTGGGGAAAGAGCTCAGGGTATAGCGAATGAATATCTAACGTACTTGAACTATTGGCGAGATCTTCAGCAGCCGCTGTTAATTTCCCTCGCTTTATAGTTTTTGAAAGTTTTGAGCGGATCCGTGAGCCTTTTAATGCCTTTCTCGAGCTTTCTTTTGATTTCTTCTTTGAACTTTTACGTCTAGCAGGACGGTCCTTGCTTTCTTTTGAGACGGAGGCTATACCCTCTTTACTTTTACTTTTTTTCTTCTTCTGAGAATCTCCCTCCTTTTTACTTTTTTTCTTCTTCTGAGAATCTCCCTCCTTTTTACTTTTTTTCTTCCTCTGAGATTCTCCCTCCTTTTTACTTTTTTTCTTCCTCTCAGATGTTCCCTCCTTACTTTTAGTTTTTTTCTTCTTCTGAGTTTTATCTGAAAATCGCTCTTTTACATTATCAAGCAGTTCTGCAATATGTGTATTGCAAACCTGATATAACAGTCGATATCCGAAAGTTGGGGTGGGTGTGTCACCGGAAGTGACGTGCACTTGATAGAAGTGCGTGGATAAGCTGTTGCCAGCATGCTTTGCTGATAGCCAGCGATGTATGTTGGAAGCAGCTTATCCACATAGTTTCTATCAAGTGCACGTCACTTCCGGTGACACGCCCACCCCAACTCACCGATATCGAGTATCCTTCTATTTTATAAAGCGCTAACTTTGTGTGTCGGTTTGTGTATCTGTATGTGTGTGTGTGTGTGTGTGTGTGTGTGTATGTGTGTCCGTCCGCAAAATGAAGTGAGTGAGAAGGAAGCTCATGGGATAAACAAACCGCTAACAAATCGGGTAGCTTACAGGATTTGAGATATCAATGTTTTGTAGCAGGATAGTTGTGATAACACTCTTAGGGCTATATAAACACCTGCTTAGCACACTTCCGTTCATTCCACATGGTGCTGCAGTGGCAGCTGGAGGGCAGTGGAGAGGAAGGGAGGATGAGGAAGGGAAGCGAAAAATCTACCGTCATATCATGATTGTGTCCCTTCTACTGTATGAAACACCATTGTGTTGCATACGCGTCACTTCCAGGAGGTGTTGGTGTCACAGGAGGAAGGGACCATAGCGGAGGATAGAAAGCTTGCGCAGGAAAGGAAGGTCCCGGCGGTTGACGGGGGACTAATCTGGTATTAATAATTATAATAAAAACAATGGGTCCACAGCATCCAGCTTCGAGGTGCGGCACGCATTCCACTTGCATTCAACATTATAGAAGAATTGTAATGCGATTTGTTCTCACAGTGACTAGTGCAGGTCGGCCTGTGCCTAATAAAACTTTCATCCTTATCAAAATGAGCAGCGCCTTAAGGTCCGAGTCTGCGAGAGATGAACGCTTGGTTGGTCTGGGGCTGATTCCATCATTTGAACCCTCGCAGTGTCCTCACGGGCCAGCAAGTACCATGAGGTCATTTCCAGTACGGTCTTCTGACCTTTTCCAGCCATGTGGTTGTTGAAGTGTACAGCCATGTTCAAATCTATTACATTCCTACTATTATCGAGATCGAGTGTGTATAAGTTGTTTGTATGTGGGGTACTGTGTGTGTGTTTGTATTGTGTATGTCTGTGTGATGTGTGTTGTGTGTTGGCGGTCTACTTTGGGCCTGTTTGTGTGCGACCTGCGATGTCTGTCTGCCACGGAAATTCATAGAGTTGCTTGCTGCAGGGATGGAGTCCAAGGTAGGGGGTGGGAGGTGGACATTGATTTGATGGAGTCAGAAAGTGATATACGATTGATAAAATCTGTAGGGGATAAGAGGCGCTGAAACGCAAATTTCACGAAATTCATAGCTCGCGTACCAGCAGCAGTGGGGCGTTGGTTCCAAGAAGTAATGTACAGGGTTGGGACGGGGACATGTTCGGTGAGGGGAGAGGAAGTGATAAGGGCCGATAGGGGCTAAACATAACCCGCTGCCCGTACAGTTTTTACGGCGCTCGTCCGTGTCGAATATTACGCGATCAGTGCGCGAGCTAACTGTGTTTTATCGGATGTTGCAAATCTGCCAAGTTCAGGCAAATGCAAGCAGCAGGGGCGTGAGTCAAAGGTGTAGCAATCGCCTAGAATTATGAACACTAACCAGCAGAAAATAAAAACTTCTCAATAGAAGGCAAAGGGAAGAATTGGCAACTGGGGACTTCAAAAATAATCGGTCTGCTAGGATTCGCGTGATCCATTTGGAACTTCGGCCGTTGACTACGTCCATCCACTCCCTCCATTTTTGTCTCATTCCATCATTCGTTCTTTCCCTACAGAGACAGTTCATTTTGAATCACTCTCACCAAGCCACTTTTGAATCGCTCTCACCAAGCCACTCATCGTTTAGGAAGCTTTCCTTTCGTTGAGGGATCTCTTACATACAGGGCGTTACATCTTTTCTTTTTTCTATTTGCTTTCACTTTTGGTTGTTCTGATTCTAACTAGCGATACTCACCTTCTTTGAGAATTTCGCCGCTTCCTTTCTTCGCTTTTACTTTGTCAAACATCGACGTCAACACTCCGTCCAGCCTACGCCTGTATGATATTTCTTGCTGCGTAGGACATAGTTTTGCACCCTCCTATAATGAAAATAGCAGTGAAAAGTAATACTGTAGCTCTCATTCTGTCTACGCTTACGTATATTTCCAGTTCATCATTGGAAAGTTCTTCAGAGAAAGGAACACCGTCGGCCCGCTTAGAGGTCTCCGACAAAAATGTGTATTTGTGAGCAGTCTACAATATAAAAATATCACTACGCCGAATCCTCCAGCATACCAAAATTTCCTGATAGGTTGATTGAACGATCATAGGAGAGGGTGTGTTTTAAACGCCCTCATTGCTTTCGGAATTCCTCGAAGATATATTGAAATAATACAACAATGCAACACAAATTGCTACACTGACGTCAACCTGCTCAAAAACCCGATCCGTGTCAAGATTCAGCGCGGAGTACGACAAGGCGAAGTCATTTCTCCGAAACTTTTCTCTGCTGCCCTAGAACTTGTTATGCAAAGTATCCAATTGCCTTGCGGCATCGACATAGATGGTGAAAACTCCAATACCTGATGTTTGCGGATGACATTGTGCTAATCGGTAATGATCCGAGTGAGCTAGAGAACTCATTGGAGATCCTAAGCAATGCATCTCGCTCCATTGGACTTGAAATCCACCCTAGCAAGACTAAATGGATGAAAAACAGTTTTACGAACGAGGGATCACTGCTTACGCATACATACGATACATGTCGCGAAAGGCGGTGGTTGGCTTGGTTGGCTGATTGAAGGAAGTCCCGTCATACGTTTATCTAGGCCAAGCATCACAATGGATAACGATCTCACAATCGAAATAGGCCGTCGCCGTAAGGCAGGCTGGGCGACATTCAATAAATATCGTGATGTTCTTACTGATAAGCGGCTTGACGCTCAGATCAAAGCCCGAGTGTTCAACACCCATGTCCTACCAGCTTTGGTGTACGGAAGCGAAACATGGAGCACGATAAAAGAGAAGAAAGAAAACTGGCATCAACCCAAAGAGCAATGGAACGAGCGATGTGCAATGTTACGTTAATGCATAAAATTCCTGCTCGTGAAATTCGAAGGCGAACCGGTGTCAAAGATGTGATCGAGACTATCTACGATTCAAAGAAGCGATGGGCAGGACATGTAGCTCGTCTCAGCGATAACCGTTGGACAGCCCGAGTGACCGATTGGTATCCCCGCGGAATAAAAAGGCCGCAAGGGAGACCCCCAGCCAGGTGGAGTGATCCTTTTAAGAAACTTTTTGGACAGAGATGGCAACAAATGGCAAGAAATCGAAACGAATGGCATAGATGCGTCCTGCAAGGTTGGCGAAATCACTCCTTGAAGAGCGGACATCAAGGTATTCAAGGTATTTAAGGAGAGGGGGGTGAAGAGGGCAAAAAAGTCACTTCGCCCATGGCGCACATCATCAAATTTTTCGTCGCACAGGATGCCGT